AAGTGCTCCTGCCACCACTGGAACCACTTTGGCCTTTACTTTCCACATCCTTTCTAGTTCCTCCTTCAGGCCCTGGTATGTGAAAACGTGGAGAGTATGAAGTCCCATGACACTTTATATTTCTGTTGTGTGACAAGCACTGCAGAAGGGATAATATTCATAAAACAAATAAAAGTGAACATATTTGTCTTTGTTTTGAGCTTCTGCAGACCTTATAATTGAAGACTGAACCTGTAACTTTTTGGAAGTTTCTCTGCCTTGAAAAAATATCTTATTTTCATAGATTGTTTTAGGGTGGATGAGTGAATAGAAGTGTCCTTGTAATACTCCTTTTTTGTAAGAAAGATATGTACAAATTCACATTTTTTTGTATGCGCATTTCTTTGTTAACAATTTATTAAATTTATTAAGTCAAATCTTGATGATAAACACTGAAATGACTGTTAATATCTCAACTCATTTTAATTTCTACCCCACCTTAATCTTATTTTTTTTTTTCTGATTGCTATGGCTTTTGGCTACAGTACAGTTTTTGAATGTTCGAAAAGAAATTTACTTGCTTACATCAATAAGTTAGATTACCAGTCTTAAATCATTTGTAACATTGTGCAGTATAATTACATACATGAACCTTGGATTTACATGATTATATTTATAACTACCTATGAATGGTTGAATCAAAAGCTGCACTCAGTTTTAATAACAAAACCAAAATGACTCCTTTGCCTTAGAAACACAGAGTCAGAAAAAGGTCTAACATAAGCTTTGCAAATGGATGTTAGTATTATTTTACAGGCTTTGAATAATTTTATCTAATCACTGCTCAGTTCTGATCCATGTAAAAGAAGCTAAAGGACAACAAATGAAAGAACGATTGAATCTATTGGATGCTATGTAACTAAGCTTTACAAAGATGCTTAATTTCAGCTCAGAAATGGTCCTGGTAATACTCAGCATCCATCTGTTATTATTCACAAGCTGGTATATGGGAGGGAGAGACTGGAAAATATACATAAACAAGAAAGTTTATTTCACTTATAATATTGAATACTGCTTTGGCTTTAAAAATGTATATCTAATCAACCTCAGTAATATTCAAAGAGCTTGTGGGGGGAATATTGGTCTAGATTAAAAAAGCCCCAGTGATTTATCAGAATTATTTAGCATTGCACTTTACAATAACAGTGACATCATTCATTGAATCCTTCACTAAACAATATTAAAAGGCATTAACTTTTGAAATGTACAAACACAGCTCTACAGGCAGCTTGGTAATAAAGCCTCAGCAAATAATCTGGCATTACATATGTAACATAGCTTTTGTAGTCTGTATTGAAAAGGAAGGAATATTTTTAAAAAATAATTTTCTACTTACCTGCCAAAATTGTATTCTAGCTATAATACTGACAATATTATGTAATACAAAATAATAATAATGTACAATTTGGCCATTTTGGAATGGTTAATAAGACATAACATTTAAGTATACTCAATAATTTTATGCTGTTGGATATGCCATAGATATGCGACTTTCTACAATTCATAATTTTAGATAGTTTGTCACCTGTCTTTTAAATATTTAATACAAATACACATTTTCAAAATCTGTATATTAACTATTTAGGGATACTAAAAGGGAGAGTTGATACTTTTCAAATTAACAAAAAAGCTTTGTATTTAGTAAGAACAATACCTTAATTATTATTATTATTATTCCTTTCCAATTATAATTAAGTTTGTAGTACCAAAATAACTTCAGAAAATAAGTACATGTCCATAACTTGCAACTATGCTGGGTCAAATTAAATGTGGCCAAGCCATGGCCAAAATCTGAAAAGAGCATCAAGCCATAAGTCAAAGATGTTTCAGACTCATCTTTCTTAAACAATTGCCCCATCCCTAGCAGTTTTGAAGCTGAATATAGTTTCAAAATCTGTTTGAAATCATGATATGAATGGGTTAATGCAAGTTGATAGCATAAGTTTAAATAGATATTTGGATTCTGTTCAAGTTCTGGGTTAGATAACCTACATATTATTTTCCTCACTATCATAAAAAAATCAAAACATATTAAACATTAATACAACTTGTAGAAAAAGTAAAACAATGTCTAATCCTGTTGGCTCTTTTCATCATCAAACAACTCTTTCCTTCAGTATGCACAAAACATTTCATGATGGCCATAACTTGGCATAATAAATTGAAAAATAAATTAGTATTATGCCCATGCAAGTGGAATCTTCCTTTCTCCTTTCTTGGAGTGCTGTAATTAAACCCAGAGGACTTTCAATTAACAAAGTTTCCTATTCCATTTGAATCAGAAACTATGGTTACCAAGTTCAGATAAACCAGAATTTTAAATTACACCTAGGAGTTGATTTAAGATCTTAGTATAGATAAAACCTTACAAGCAGAATTTTCTGGGTTGGATGTAGTAGGAAGTTATCATTAACTGAAGATCTTCTAGGTTATTGTTATATATTAAGAAGGAACAGGCAGCATCCGGGTTGCATAAATAGGTAAACAGTTTTTTTTAAAACCTTAATAAACTGAGAGATTATTAAATCAGAGCAAATTTTTACACTCTGTTTGTCTAATATGACAGGTTAATGTGCTTTGTATTTAATTCCTGAAAACTTCATTCTGCTGTTTGCTATTTATACACGTTAAAAAAACCTGTTTCTCAATTTCAAATCTTTTTATAATTTACACATACTAATTGGCATAACAAATAGATATCATGTTCTAGAATAAAGCCTATAAATTCAGTCTGGGTAACGGGGATAATGGTATGTAAAAACAAATAGAAAAAAGATAACTGCTTTTATGTAGCCTGTGAAATTACTATGTGGTATTCTACATGGTAAAATAAGTTGCCTTTTCTAGATTTTTTTTTGCACTAAAGAATAGCACTGTTAAATTGGTAATGTGTACAGAAAAGCATTTTTATGTAATGGATAGAGTTTGCTAAATTTCTTTACATACCATGCCTCCAGGAAGTATGGAGACCAGACATCATTATTTAGTGGCAACTTTCACTTACCAAACCACCCCCAGCAGCCACTACAAATGAATTATCCCCAAACTATATCTTGGTTGGCAAAAGCAACAGTGGCTGGATTCAAACATCATGTTAAGTAGTGAACTATTCAAAACCACAATGGTTGGGACCACCGACTAAGCCAGAACCAGACAAAGCATAGTGTGGTTTAGTGCACTGTGTGAACCTAGCTGCTGATCTGGGGAAGTAACAAAATGTATGTTAGCAATATCTCCACTTCTGCTGGCAAAATATCAGGACAACAAAAAACTAGACCACAGCCATTCAGCCTGAAAGCTCATCAGTGCTTGAACCCGACTTCTCTCTAATCATTACTTTGGACAGAGTTCAGGCCAGCCCAAAATATTTTGTTGTGTGCATAGAATACCAAGGTGTCAGCAATCCCACATCACAGCTTCTTATATAGTAGCTGATCAGTTTCAACCTTAACACTGCCATTGGACATTTGCTGCCATATCTGGGATCAGTAGGTAAGCAGATACAGATCAGAGACTGCTTTATCCTTCCACACCTTGCAGGATCCATTATCCAGCCTACGTAGAGGGCCAGTTTTGGCTTTGGAGTATACAGCTCATCAACACTAGATTGTAAGAGGTGTACTTTGAAAACCTTTCCATTAGGCTGAGCTGCCCTGCCACCCTAACCCACAAATTAATCAGCCACTTTTCATCCTTGCATAGTGGATGGACCTAACCCAAGCAGTTTGTTTTTATGGTTCGATGTGTCATGCAACTCCAGCAAATTGACTTAACTGAATAAACCATAAATATAAACACAGCCATCTCCTTGTAAAGGGAAACAAAACAATGAAGCGATCTGCGGAGACAAAAACCTCGCCAGAGCAGCAGGCTTTGGAGGCCTACAGAATGATAAATGGAATGGATTATCCTCCTCAGAGATGAAGACACTGCGGGCAAAGGCATCTGCTGTACGGTCTCGAGAGAAGGTGATGATCAAATGCACTTGGAATCTGGGACACGAACAAGCGAAGCTCCACTTTCTGGCTTTCTTCACCAAGAGCTCCCGAGCAGCAAGGGGGCTTGTCAAAATAACTTGACTGAGGCACGGAGAAAGGCTGCCCGACGAGAGATGGAACGGTCGACTAAAAGAGCCGAACCCAAAGATTAAAACTTCGCGACGTCTCTCGGACGGTCAGTTCAAAGTTTATTCATCCTCCCGCTCTAAAAAAAAAAAAAAAAAGAGAGCAGCAG